CCCCCCCCCCCCCCCCGGGGAAGCTGGATTGGATCAAAGAGCGTGTGAACAGAGTGACACAGACCGGCCAGTGTCGGACAGCCACACACACTCGGCAGCGAAGAAAACTGTGAGTCTGTGTCTTCACATCTGTAAGCTCGGCTTCATTTGATGTAACTGGAGTTAACCTCGACTTTCATGTAAGAATCAGGCTGCGCAACAAAACTGATCCCAAACCTGAATCCCCCAAGTAGAAACTTTATCGAACAAAAGGCACCCCTTTGTCAGAAAATCTCAGAGAGTTAACTGAATCACAGTTGAACTGCATACAGGAGAAATGTTTCATGCATTCACTCTCGTCTCCCTCTCCTCCCACCTCCGTTTCCTTTCATTTCTTTTTCTCTTTTCATTCTCCCTTGCTGGGTCGACTCTATCCTCCATCTATGTTCGCGTCCTCCTTCAGCGGCGCTCTCGCTCCGCAGTTGAAAAACTTTCTACCAAAGTTATCTCTTTCTTTTGATTCCCTCCGCTCCACCTCCCAATTTAGCTTTCCTCTCCTCCATCTCTTCCTCCTCCCCTCTTTTCCCTCCATCACTCTCAGTTTCTTCACCTCCATTCTCACTCCCGCTGTCTTCCTCTCAATGGGATTATGCAAAACAATTGAGGCTCCGTGTCGCTTCGCAGTGGGTTTCAAAGCCATTTCCTGCAGTGCTCTGGCTTTCTGTTTCCCTTACTCACACACAAGCTCATATGCAGACTCATGTGCACACACACACACACACACTTGCACACTCACATGGAGTTGTAGCTTTTTTAGCCTGTGTATATTTTTAGCGCGGCCATTGCTGAGTGTGTTATTAGCTCTGCCTGCTGCCCTCCTCTGGAGAAATGATCCTCAGTGCCAGCTGGCACAGTTTTTGACTCTGCCCGCCTCTCCGATCTTAACTCAGCACCACGTCATCTGCTGTAACGATGTAACGATCACTTTACATGACCATGAGTAGTAGTACAAGTGGCTTTTTACATGCTAGTTGTTTGTTGTTCACACCGCTGCCAGAATACAGCAACATCTGGTGATATGCATTTACTGTGCGACTTGGTTCGCTTGCCTCTTGAGTTATACATGATTTACTTAGACTACTGCTCCTTTTTTGTCTTTCCAGAGCGGGAAAAAGACAGTCAAGGCAGTGTTGTGGGTTTCAGCAGATGGACTCAGGGTGGTGGATGACAAAACTAAGGTAAGCGAACACATTTTCTTTGTTTTGTTCCATCCTCCCCTCTGTCTTCCCTTCCTATCTACTGCATCAGTCACTCGGCAACAAGGACGAGGAGGGGAAGTGTGTGTCCTGCAGTCATGTGCATCACACACCGCACAGGTGTTCTATCTATGGCTTCGTCCTCAAGTCTCTGACGACAACAAGAAAGAGTTTCCCTCCCTCCGCGCAGCATCTTCTTTCTTTTATACTCTCAAATTCAGTTAAGACATGCAACAAAAGTCTCATTCTGTCCCAGTTTGATGACACCACCGTGCATCTACTATCTTGATGCTGCCAGGCTAGTTTGGGCCCCTGTATGTGTGTGTGTGTGTGTGTGTGTGTGTGTGTGTGTGTGTGTGTATAGTTTCAGACCTGACATATGTGACTCATGGTTTCTTGCTGAAGGTGCCTAGTGGGGGAGGGAAGATCAAGTAAACATAGACACGCACACACACACACACACACACACACACACACACACACACACACACACACAAACATGCACTTGAGGAGTGTCTGGCAGCCAGGGAGGCCTCCAGCAGAGTGAGCGCAGATCTCTGAGGCTCTATTGAAAGCCGAGCAGAATAAAGAGCAGCAGAGAAAAGAGAGAGCGAAGCCTTTTTTTTTTAATCTTTCGAGGCCACACACGTGACCTCATCTCCCCCCACTTTGATCTCCCTCTTTTCTTCCCTTCAGGGATGTGTCTCATCCAAACATATTCAAAGATAAAGCTGCAGTATTATATTTTGCATATTTTCAACAAACCTACGGCGAGACACCCTGTAGGCAAAAACATCTTCTTTTTTTAATGCACTGCTCAATTTTGACATTTTGGACTATTTTGCCTTCATATCATGTATTCTTTCAGACTACTAGAAAGAAAACATCCAAAATACACATTTAGGTGTTTATTTTAATACTTTATCTCTCCGGTCTGTAGCTTTAGATAATGCCTAATTTAAACACAACAGAAAACTTGTAATAGAAATGAAATGAGATTGACGTGAATTGAACCTGTTTTTGGATGAATGTGCTCAGACTTTACCCACATTGTCAGTTATTATTAGTATTATACTATTTGTAATCCAAATAGTGAGCCAAACATTTCAGATTATCCAGCGTTGTAAAGTCCAAGAGTTATTGAAAAATGTCCCTCACAGTGTTGAACACACTATGAGAACTGCATTTCATCTCAGCTTTACGGAGCATTTTAGCATCTTTTATCTCATTGCTTTGGTTTTACAAACAGCAACTTTACTGTTTTGAGCAAAATAAGCTCTGCTAAACCCACCGTACACGACCCGCCCAGCACCAAACAGTTGGTGACTGTGAACAAGTTTAACATATTAAGATTTGATTACAAACCGAGCACTGATAACTCTCACAGTCCTTCTTTCTTTCTTTCTTTCTCGCCTCTTCATCATCAGAGCTTTATCTTGAGCTCAGCCTCGGTTTATGAATCAGCAAGCGCACCTGACGACTCCCACACGTCTATTCAGACTTTCCCACCATCAGTGAAGGCACCGTTCATATATGCGTCTGCATGCACAATAGAGACAAAAGCTCCGAACGACCTTCATAATGCATCAATAGAAAGAAATGTTGAAGACGGCACAGAGACGCTCTGAGTCACAGGCTGCTGCGCAGTGTCCTTCCTTTCGGTGATTTAGGGACACGAGCTGAGTCATCTTTAGCCACAAACACACTTTCTTCTCGCACTTTCGCCACCTTACATGACCACACGTGAGTCATAAAAACAGAAAACACAGAAACAGGAACAGTAATATGTGACACAGAGCAACTCACTGTAACCCACTGCTCTCTGCTCAGCCTTTCACCTCGGTACCAGCATCCCCCTTCAGTCACTAATTGGCCCACAATGAATGGACTGTTATTCTTCTACCTCTTCCTCCCCTTCTTTCCCGTCCTCGTCCTCCCTCTTCCTCTCTCCTCATCCTCCCCTCTCTTTGTTTTTCGGGGCGATACCGCAGGAGAGGGAGGAAGTGCGTGGATGAGTGTGTGAACCCTCTCCTCCCTTTCTCCTCCCTCTCGCCCCCTTGTTTTTCTTCCTTTTCTGTTTTTCGGTGAGTCAAAGAGGTGAGCCGGGGGCCCCTTAATGTACACAGAGAAAGAGAAGGGCCCCTTTTAGTTTCCTCTGCAGTGACTATAGGCGCTGAGACAGGCTGAATAACCCTTTTATAGAAGGAAGGGCAAGTGGTGGAAAAATCGCAGAGATGAAAAGAGGGTTCAGTGTCGTTAGTCTGGAGCCACTTTCTTTTTTGTAACTGGTGGATGTGTAAATAGGTCGGAGTGAGAGGGGTTTCATGGGGTTAGAAGAGGTTGAAAGCAGTGTGTCGAGTATTGGATCAGTCTACAAGCTGGAACGCTATATTTCCTGCCTGTCATCGGTTAAGCCGTGTCACATGTGATTTGATGCGATCTAGCTGCTCGATGCGATTGACTTTGAGTGTTTTTTGTGTGAACTGTCAAATCTGATTCTCTCTCTTTGTCCCTGTTTCTCTCTCTCAGGACCTGATTGTGGACCAGACCATAGAGAAGGTTTCGTTCTGCGCCCCCGATCGTAACTATGACAAGGCCTTCTCTTACATCTGCCGAGACGGCACCACCAGACGGTGGATGTGCCACTGCTTTATGGCTCTCAAAGACTCGGTGAGAGGACGGTTAACCTTAGATTTTCCTCTTTGCTCGTCACAGGAGCTGCACTCTGCCCTCATTCAGCCTTTCAGTTCATCGTCCTTTCAGACAAACTTACTAAAACTGAAAGCTTTATGAATTCAACAAAGTTAAACTATAACTAATTGATGAGCATAAAAATAAACTACACCCCCAATGAAAATGTACCAGGCTGGCAGTGCAGGTACTTGAAACACAGCCGCTTGACTTGTGACGTTTACTCGCGATGGTCTACTCTAGGGATTATGGGTAATGGTGTTTGTTTAAGGCTACTAAAAACTGCTGAATAATAGAAATAACACAATGAAGCTTTCAAAATAGAGTGAATTACATTACATACAACTGAGTAAGGCTCCGCTTCAAGGCCATTATTTTTAGTTATTTAGGTTTTTACAGATGAATGAATTTGAATGAGGATGAATGAACTTAACGAGCTAAATGATAAAATTATCAATTAGTCGATCAACAACAAAGTATCTTCACTCATTGTTTGTTGCACAGGTTATTTATGAAGCAAAAAAATCACAGTATTTTGCTTGTTTAAGCTTCTGCAATGTGACGATTTTGTGAAGTTTAATAAGATTATGAAGTGTTTACGTTTTGTTTTTCGACGATAACTTTCCTTTGGGAAACTGTGATGGCCACTTCATACACCAGGCAATTTATCAGGTTATGAAATAGACAGATGAATCAATGATGAAACAGTCATGAGCTTCATTCCACATTTTTCACATACGGTACAATTTGCCGTGCATGTCTCATTCAGACACATCAGCCCATCCTGCACAGTTGTGTTCAGCTGAGTTCTAACCTCTCGTGTTTCCATCTGACCGACCTTTGGGATGAGGAGTTTTGTAATTTAAAGACAACTGCAATAGAAACAATGCTGTCGTGGTGAGTTGTGGTGTCACTCCCATGGCGGTTTCATCAGCTTAGACTGCGTGATAGATTATTCATGTGGACGGAAGAGAGCGCAGCGCAGAGCTGCGGGATTAGGAGAGGGGATTAGACAGAATCCTGTGGAGTTATCTGTCCATCTCTGTCTGTCTCTATTTTCCACCACACTCTCCATATCTCCATCTGCTCATCTTAAACGGAACTGAGTCTTTCCCACAGCAGTCATGGCTGTCTATGAAGAGACACGGAGTGACGATAGGGGGGAGAAAGTCGGGGAAATTAGGAATAAATTGCAAAAAAGGCAGGCGGGTATTCGATTTATTCAGAGCCGCGGAGCGTGAACTTATTTTGACGTTTGACAACAGAATAGATTTGAGTTGGATAATTGCAGCCTAATCTGATGTTCTCTGTGATGTTTTATTTTACGTGAACGTATGAACTTGATGTGAAGGTTGACAACAAAGAAAAACAACGTCAAAATGAAGACTGGAGGAGTGTGTAGGTCAAGTGTAGACGTGACCTTTAAACACTTGTGTTTTTTGCTCCACCAGGGGGAGAGGCTGAGCCACGCAGTCGGCTGTGCCTTTGCCGCCTGTCTGGAGAGGAAGCAGCGGCGGGAGAAGGAGTGCGGCGTGACGGCGTCCTTTGACGCCAGTCGCACCTCGTTCGTGCGCGAGGGCTCCTTCCGCTCCAACCCGACCTGCCAGCAGAGCTGCGGCAGCGAGAGAGACGACAAGCTGCAGGACAAGAAGAAAGGTAGATTTCAAAGTGTGCGCACATACTCAGGTGTGTCTTTCAAGTACTGCTCATACATGTGACATGTGAGTTGCCCCCTTTAAAATGTTAAAAGTCAAGCACATGCTGAGGAAACTCATAGAGGGTCATAGCAAGAAGTCACTTAAGATTAGATCATCTATAGAATATGTACAGGGGTGATAGGGTTTGAACAGAAATGACCATGCACCCACTTCCTCTTCCAGAACAACCTTCTGCCATCCCAGCCCTCCCACCCGGAACCGCCTCCCCGCCCGAGGGATCAGCGTCCCCCATGGAGCGGCCCGAGCCCGGCGGGCCTCACGCCATCCCTCGCCGACACGCGCCCATCGAGCAGCTGGTGCGTCAAGGCTCGTTCCGGGGATTCCCGGCCCTCAGCCAGAAGAACTCTCCCTTCAAGAGGCAGCTGTCGCTCCGCCTCAACGACCTGCCATCCACGCTGCAACGCAAGACCGACTACCAGGACAAGAACCCTGGTGAGTTGAGACGTTCTTGACTCACTGACTCAATGCTGGTGGTGGTGACCTGCTGACCTTCTGACCCTGGTAACTTCTGTTTCCTCTCTGCAGAAACTTTCATTTGTTAATTATGTTGAACTGGTTTTAAAAGCTGGGGTTTGGGACCATATGAACATGATTAGGGGCCAGTTGAGGTTAGTAAAAAGGGAAGGTTATGTAATGTTTCCATTGTGAAGTTTATATTCAGGTCAGATTCATTATGTGGAATCTGTGGGGGGGTGAAAAAAGCCCCTCAACAGCAGCAGAGTTGGTGCCTTGTGCCGGCAGTAATAACTCTGCAGTTATTGGCTGTTTGCTCAAAAATAGAGAAAGTCTTGACAGTTCGACAGACAGGATTCAACATTTTCTTATATTTTAGCAATTTCTAATTGGGTGTGTGATTTGGTGGCTACTTGCAAATTATTGTTCCGTTGATATATTAATACACAGTACCATATCAAATTATATTTGCACTTTTAGTTATTTATCTTAAAACGAATACTCAATTTGTGTGTTTTTTATGGTTCAGACCCCTTATTAAGCCCAATAATTCACTCTCTGAGACTGATGGGTCGTTACATTATGGGGCAGTATTAGTTTTGATTAACTTTGTTTCCTTGAATTTCATTCCAAGTTCCTTTCAAGTGGAAAAGCAAATGGGCAACATTTAGACAATCATGGGATGATTGTGGATCTGCAGCAGGATGCAGGGTTCACAAAGAGTTTACCAGACCGACACGGTTAAAGCTGTTGAACAAAATCATCACGCGTCACACTAGAATATTATTTTCTAATCATATATCTGATCAAAAAAATAATGAAGAAATCATTCATGTCGAAATAAATGAAAGCTTACTAGCTGTAGTCAGAGAGGAACCTAAATCAGAGAGGTTCATGATATTAACTGCAGATGCAAAATGCAAATGCATCAACTTAATTTCACGAACACTGGACTTGTTTCTACAGGTGTTTGATCCACATTTAACTCATACTTGGTATCACAATGTCTCCCCAGTTCGCTCATTGAAATCAGCTGGGATCTCTCACTCACACATTGTTTTTCTTTTGAGGGATTTCGTAAACTCAAACACCCAAATTGTTATTTGTTTTTTCAAAGAAGTCAAGGAACATTACTGCTGCCTGTACACACAAACAGAAAGCACACATGTGGGACTCCGTGTTCCACTGACATCATGGTTGTTTGCTGATTTGAGCATTATTACATTTTCCATTTGGCTTCAGTGTGGCATGAGTGACCTCCATCTGAAGAGGTCTGAGCAAACATATTGCAGAATAAACCTTCAGCACATGTCAGATGCAATTTTATTCCTCTGCACCGGCAACACCCGTATCTGGAGGCTTTATGTTTATGGGTTGTCCATCCGAAAATCCCATTCTAGTGAACGCAGGAAGGCCTGGAGGGAATTTGGAAGAAACTTCGACTTGACCACACATTACCTGATTAGAATTTGGTGATCAAAGCTCAAAGTTACTGTGAAACACGTTGTTACCGTAAATCAAGAATTCATAAACTAATCTCTCACAAATGTCTAATAGGATAAAATTATGAAGTGAGGACATTTCGCACAGACAAACCGTAGCTTGACTCGTTGACGGAGGCATACGAACGCGAGGCGTTAATTCTAGTTATTCATGTTTTCCTGCAGACAATGTGTAATTCTTCACTTTACCCCTCAGAGGTAACCCCCCTTACATGGACACACCCACTCAGTGTGGTGCTACAGGATCAGAACGCTGCGGAGTTGATTATAGTCATTAGGAGAGATGAGAGAGTTGACTGGAACACTAAACCACAACATTCAACTCCCACTCTCACTCACATCCACTCCTTTCATTTCCGTCTCCTCTATTCTGCCATGCTGGTTAAAGTATATATCCAGTAGTGGTGAATTTGATGCAGTTTGAATCCTATGTGCTTTTTCTCTCTACCTCTGCACACACACACACATTCACACTGCCTCCCTGATCCCTTGTGACTCTCACACAATGTGTGTATTGATTTGTGCGGTCAATCAGCTGTCCTCGTTAGCCTTCAGCAAGCCCCCTACAAGCCCTTAACCTGCAACTGCACTGAGAGAAACACACACACACACACACACACACACACACACACATACACATATAGACACACATGGGAGGTGCTTAGAGGGCTTCTGAACTCTGCAGGACGTTGACAAGAATGGGGAAAGGGGAGGATCACAGGGTCGGTCTTTGCAGAACAAAACACAGAGACATCTTTAATGGGAGACCTTACTCATGCCTCCAGCGCCCTCTGCACCCTGCAATATAATTCAAGGCCTGTAGCCACACAATGCACACAGATGAGAGAGATATGCATGAATAAGAAGAGTGGGCTTGTAAAGGTTTGGGGTTTTGACCCACAATGTGCCACTCTGTGGGAAACATGCATTCATTTTACTTCATTTTAATCCCACTCCTCTTTACATTCATTCCTCTGCACGATGTAAAACAAAACCACAATGTCAAAAATGCCACTGTCAAACTCTTGATTTGTCCAGTGTTTTGGGTCGACTGTGCATGTAGAGCGTGGATGGGGGCAGCAAAAACAGGAAGGATGAGGGAGCGGAGGAGAGGAGGAGGGAGTAGAGGAAGAAACAAAATTCCTCTGTCTCTGAGGCCCTCGTTGTTACGGGAGGGACCAGGGGACAAGGAACGGGGAATTAGATATTATGTCTATTTATATCTGCGGTCTGTGCAGGAACGGTTAAAGAGCTGTAGTCCAAACCCAAAGTCAGACAGGAACATCATGCGGCCTAATCCCTCGCTGGTCGGATCAGTTACAGTTGGTTTAAAAACATGGATAAGCTAAGCCAAATTCACCTCTGTCTGAGTCATCCCACTGCACAAGACACACCAGGCAGTGACATAACAGGCTGAAACGTACATGAATAAAACGCTATATATACTTGTTTGCACAGCTTTTGCTTGGCATGCGCACATGCTTGTGACTTAGTATGAACCTTTTTATTTTTAGTAAGAAGGTGGAGATTAGCACAATGCCATGTTTGTCTTGAGAATCTTGTGTTTTTGATGCTTTTTAGGTCAAGCCTTCACCCCTTCAGTTTCTTTGACGCTAACTAGCTCTGTTAAACAAATGAATAAACATTTTTCTCTCTCTCTTTTCGTCTGTTTGTCCCTTTTACACATTCCCCTCCGTCCACCATTCCATCTCTTCTTTTCATCTCCACTGTCTTCCTCTCCTTTCCCACCCCGCCTTCCCTCTGTGTGTCCCTTTCTTGTTAGTACCAGAGATGGACATGGGGTTGCCTTGTGAGGGAGACTGTGGTATCAACGCCCTGTGCAGCCAAATCAACAACTCCTTCACTAACCCTTCGGATGAGTTCTTCTCCAACCCTTCTTTGCCTGCAAATGGCCCCCCAGCCTGCATTGTGCCCCCTGCCCTGCCTCCACCACCTGGACCAATGCAGGGTAAGAAAGAAGAAAGGGTCAAATAGAATACAATTTGAACTGAACGCAGTGATGGTCTAATTCTTAAACTTCATCCCTCTAGGCACTTCTTCCTGGGTGCAGCCGGAGCCTCCACTTCACTCTCCTCCTCCTGTTTCTGTGGCGATGCAGATGCAGATGCAGATGCAGATGCAGATGCAGAGTGGACACAGGCGCACACCCTCCGAGGCCGAGAGATGGCTGGAGGAGGTCTCCAAGGCTGTCAAGGCTCAACAGACTCCTCCCCCGGGCCCCGCCATCCCCATCATCCCTGGACCGCCCTCCGTGTCTAGTCAGCAGATGTCCAGTCAGGCAGTCATGTCAGCTGCCACAGTGTCTACTGGCCCTTTGCCCCTTGGCAGCATGTCCAAACCTCTTCTATCGGGCCCCTGTGCTCTTTCAAGTCAGGCGCCGATGCCCCTCCCACCCATGTCAATATCATCGGTTCCTCTAATACCAGGCCCCCCAGTCTCAGGCCCCCCTATGTCTCTACCTTCCATGTCCATTCCCACCATGTCCGGTCCGTGCATGTCTGGGGCCTCCATGATGCAGCCCTCCCTCCCCGGGCCCCCAGGCTCCCTTCCAAACTCCATGCAACCCTTCCCCATGGCCTTTGATACCATGCCGGCTCCTGTGGGAATGTTCGCCAGCCAGCCTGTCCAACCGGCATTTGTGCATATGCAGACCTACATGCCAGGCCTCGCCACCAGTATGACATATCCCAACGCCAGCGTACCTGTGGTAGGCATCACACCATCGCAAATGGTGGCTAACGTCTTTTGCACCGCCACTGGCTCATCCGGTGCAGGTGGAGCCATGAGCTCGGCCGTAGGAGGGGCATTCGGAGCAGCCGGGCAGCACCATTCTTACCCAGGAGTACCCAGTGCAGTCGGGCACCCCGGAGGGTTTTCCACACCGCCTTTCTCTCCCACTCCGCCGTTATCGACAGCCCTTAATGGCCTACCACCGCACAGCAGCGCCACGATGGCCCTCCAGAATGGGACCAGCAACAGTGGCGGGAACTGCGGCAGCAGTAGCAGCTGGCCGCCGGAGGGCAGCCAGCTAACAGCTCCGGCAGCTAGCGTTTCCCAAGACGATGATCGCTTTGAGGCCAAGTGGGCGGCGCTGGAGGCCAAACCGGCGCCTCAGCAGCCTGGGAATAAGGCACCAGCTGCAGCAGCCAACCCGTTCTCCAACAATCTTCAAAAGACTTTTGAGATTGAGCTTTAAGCCAGAGTTGGCCTCCCAAAGCTGTAGCTCACGTGAATACCTGAGAAAGGCGGGCCTATAAGCAGGTCCTTAAAGCTAGCCTAGCATCTGACCTGTGGCAACTTGCTACAAGCTCTCGTAGGAGTCGATGTGAAAATGATCTTAATTGCTTCCTTTACACTCCCATGAGAGCTTTGGAGGAAGTTGCCATTGGAGGATCAGGTCTCTAGCTCACCAGACTTGATGGAATGAATTCCTTCGACTCCACCCGCTGCCCACCTCTCTCTCTCCCCTGCTTTCACTTCTCCACTCTGGCTTTACTTTACTTGCTGCAAGACCCTGGATGTACTGTATGTGACCCCCCCATGGACATTATGGGGGGGGGGGACGACACAACTCAGTGGTTTCTTTCTTTAAAAAGGGACTCCACTCAGATGCATTCCAAACCCATGAGATGTTTGTTTTCTTTTTTCTGGTGGAGAATTTAGCGGATACGGCTACATCACGAGAGAAGCGATCAGACGGATTCTGATCTTAGCCGAGCACAGCGAAAAGATTGGACACCCGAAAGGACTAGCCAACGTTGTCAGACCCGATTCTACCAACCCAAAAGGACTTACTGACTAATAGTAGAGATTTATGGCCAAATTATTTTATTTATTGTACTTCATTTTTATTTTTTAACAAGTTATATATACTTAAAAATCAAATTTTTAAAGCAGTGTCGTTTTTCATCCCCCGTATCTATTTTAGTTGAACCGTGAAGATGAGGGGAAACTACAGGTCGCACACAGGTAGAGGGAAAGCATTGTGGGAAACTGAGTTATGTAACAGGAACCAAAACAACCCCGGGCTGATGGTCCAGCAGTGTGTAGTTCGACATGTGAGACAGTAAGTGTATATAGCGGCATGTTTCTTCCACCTGTTGGCCCTCACATATATACGCTCCACTGCTGGTGATGCCAGATGAGTCAACATGGCGTCACTCAAACATCACTTCAGGATATCCAGCACACAGACACTCTGGGCAATACAGCACAAGTCCATCTTCTCCAGACGAACCCGAGGAACTCTAACAACTCAGTGGAAACACTGTACAACACTGTGGAACTATAGTTGGAAAAAAACGATGCACTACATTCCGACTTTCATAATCTTTGAATGTGTTAAAACACAGGGTATAGTCTCATCACGTACAGTATGATTGTGTATTCACCTCTATTGTACTACTGTAGTAGTACTGCACTCATTACAGATGATGGGCTTGATGATTTGAGGTTAAAAAAAAAGAGAAGAGGAACATGTGCAAACCGAGGCGTGGCAAATGAGAGAGAAATAATGGATATATTTCGGATGCATATTTGATTGAGAGACAAATGGAGAAAGAAAACAGAGTAGCAGAAGAATAGACTGCTAGAGGGAAACAAAACGAGGGATAACCTGTATGTGAGAGGCTGAAGGAGAGAATGGAGTAAATTTAAATGCCTTTAAAGAAAATGAGATGGAGGAAGTTTGAAGGAAGGAAAAAGAGAAAAGAGTGAGGGCCATAGTGTGTGAAAATATTGAGAACAAAGACACATTCATCACGTAGCCCACAACCAGAGCACTGTCTGCTGTTTTTCTAACATCTTTTTTTGTCTCGAGGCCAAGCCACGCCCATCTCAGCACCATGTTCCTCAGCTCCTAAAACCTCACAATCAACACTTTGCATCCTATTAAAAATATGTTTCCGATTATATATTTACAGTCCTCATACAATGTAGTCCAAACTTCAATAATACCAATGGAGCTTTCTGCGTTTTCACTTTGAGTCGTAAAAGAAAATGCAACATTACGAAGCAGAGACGTTCTCTATAGAGGGGCTTTCCTACGTGACGTGTAGCGAGCAGGTGGTTTTCTGTATGTTATATAAAAACTGTAAACTGACCAGAGATGCTCCTGTTATGTTGCCCGGGAATTGAATTGTATGGATATGGACTGCCACTTATTAGGTTTCCTGCTCATTAACTCCCTACAGTTTAGTTAGGTCTCTTCCTGTGGCGGATAGGCTGCCTTCTCAGAGAACATAAAATATTGTGCCACAGGCCTAATTTATACCATCTCGGGTCCTCCAGGAGTTTTGTCCTTTGTTTTCGGACAAATCAATACTTCTTCCCCACGAAAAAACAAATCCAAATGTCTCTCTCTACCCTCCCCTCTGTACGAGACCAGACTGGTTCGCTCCTGAAATCAATGCTTTTATTTCTTTGAAGATATATTTTCGCCCTCGACTCTTGTTCGCCGGCCATCCAAATTATAAATGTAGGTTAATTGTGTTCCGCGTTAAAGCAAACTAAATGACCTCATAAACTTGATTGTAAAACCATAGTTTAGTGATGGTAACAAAGCAAACCAGTGGGATTTATTTTTAATCTTTATTTACAGAATTTTTGTATTTAAACCTACATATTTGTATTGTAATTACATTGTACAAAAGATAAATAAAGTAATATAATATTACTCCTGTTCAGGTTTGTTAAGTGGTGGCTTTTTAGCTTTTCACAAACTGCTGTAGTTTTTAAAAATCTTTTCCATCATTTATTTTATGACCTTTTCATTCTCTCAATTTATCTCTTCATCCTTTACACTTCACTTTCTTTTTATTTCTGCTTCATGGATCTCAACTGCTCCCTCTTACTTTACTTTCTTCTTTCCATCCAGTTTTTGAGTGACTTTAGAACAAACTTGTAAAACATGTCAAAAGCTAAAAAGTGAAGCATGTGTATTTTATTCAACTGGATAGAAGAATCTGAATCTGAATCAAAACTGTTTATTGCCAAGTACATTAAACAAACAAGGAATTTGACTCAGTGAATGGTGCATAACAGGTTAAACTGATTTCTGAATGTATTTAAATCGCAGAGCAAGGCTTTAAAAGCTAATTGGTATAAAGCAATATAATTGCAAAGTGGGAAAAGCTAATTTGGGCACCCCTGGTTCCAAAAATACATGTCGAATTATTGTTTCTGGGCACTTCTACTGCTCGGATGAACATGAATACATCAGTACAAAACACTCCATCCAGAAATGGGAATACAGAATGGGGGAAAATAGTGAATAGTTTGACATTTTGGGATATTTTCTAGCATTCTTGCTGAGAGTTACATGAGATGATTGACACCAGACAGAGGTAACGATCGTCTCACCGGTGCCTCAGAAGGAAAGAACATAAAATCCCCCAAAACTATTCCTTTAAATGTGTTATTGCTCTTTAGCTACATTGTGGCGATTTACCAAAGGTACATACAAAGACAACGACATCCAAAGGTACATCTCCTTCTTTGGTCTGTACCTTATTGTCTCTCTCCTCTAAGAGTTCCCCCCCCCCCCCCCTCAACCCTCCAGCTCCTGGATGCAACTGTCTAATCAGCGCTGTCTTCCAGTCGGCCGGACTGATCGGTGCTGCAGCAGCTCAGGTCACTAATGGAACGAGACAAGGCCTCTTTTCTTCTTGAGGGCTGTGAGAAACGGGACGGCTACGCACACACACACACACACACACACACACACACACACACACACACACACTGGGCTCTTGAGCGGTGGTAGCAGTAACTCTCACTCGGCCATTGTCCTCTGATCTGAGGACAGTCGGTGAGTGTGTGTTGCCGAGGAGCCAAAGAGCTTTATAACTATTATGAAACTCCAGTGGACGGACACTTGTTTTCTTTAATTCGTTCATCGTGCTGCTCGTGTGAAAGTTAAATCAAAAGCAGCGTTGATGAGGCCAAATTAGAGGATTTCATGTTATTTGATCAGGGCTGTCTTTGTTGTTTTTTAATACGTTTTTAAGGTGCTTTGGCACAATCGTTGAATGAAAATCATAATTCACAAAACACAGTGTAGTTCCCAAATCTTTAGTTCAGTACAGACATTTGCTGTTGCTTTCACACAGACTGTAAATATACGAATGAACAAACAAGCTGATCCAGGGATGCACTACATTAGCCTCAAAATGATCCAAATTGACTGCACTGATTTTCTAACAATCTGTTTAGTTCCCCAGACGTGTTCATCAAAATCCACTTTGTGTAAATACACACATGCAAAATATCAAAGTCAACTGTCAAACATAAATGCTTCTTAGGTTTCAGTGATGTAATATTGTCATATAAAGAATTGATAGATAAATAGTTACAGTAAAGTCTATTTGTAACATCCCCACATTTTTGAGCCACTTCTGGGATGTTTGCAGGTGAAGCTAGCGTTGTTACATGTTCACAAAATACAGATAATTATATTTGTATGTACCATCTAAACACTATACTATAAAGCATGTAAATAAACTATCGTTAAAAACTGCTGAATGGTTCTTTAACTTATAGTTATAATCACAATACCTAATAACTGCCACCCCCCCACCCTTTACAACCACAGTGCCTCCCCCTAGCTGTGCACTGTGCCTCCTTCTGTATAGTCAACTTAGTTGCAGCAACCTACATAGGAGACGGAGATTCTTGGTTACCATGGTTACGCAGTGAAAGGCTAATTTATAACTGCTGAAAAGCGCCATAGTCAGCAAAAACTGCCTCCTATGTAAAAACTAAATTGCCAGAAGAAATGATAGTATCTGAATATCATCTTAATGGATTCTCAAGGCAGTTAGGACAAATGTGTGTGTGCGTGTGTGTGTGTGTGTGCGTGTGCGTGTGTGTGTGTGTGTGTGTGTGTGTGTGTGTGTGTGTGTGTGTTGGAGGACGTCCCCTGTTCTTCATTTGTGTTTTAAAAGGCATAATTTATGTGCACAGCTGCTCAAATTTGAAGTGTGTGTGTGTGTGTGTGTGTGTGTGTGTGTGTGTGTGTGTGTGTGTTCTGATCACTTGGAACAGATTACTTCAAGCTAATAATCATACCAGAGGGTGTGTTGTGTTATTGCAACTAATACTAGAGGAGAGGCAGATATCTTTAAGTGCGTGGATGGAAAACATCCCTGTAGGCTGTGTTGTTTCACTTCCAATTAGTGCTCTCTCTCTATCTCTCTCTGTCTCTGTCTCTCTCTCTCTCTCTGTCTCTGTCTCTCTCTCTCTCTCTCTCTCTCTGTCTCTGTCTCTCTCTCTCTCTCTCTCTCTCTCTCTAATGGTAATGGTATTTGTGTAATGGGCCATGCCCAGATTGTCAGATCAGCACTGGATAATGCATCAATGCTACACACACACACACACACACACACACACACACACACACACACACACACA